GGGGGGTGAAGGGGTGCAAGGTTGCCTCAGGAGGGGTCTTGCAGGGGTGGGGGGGTGCAGCGGGAGGTTGAGTTTGTGGGAGTTCCCCGGGTGCTGAGGTGGGGAGGCTGGCGTGTGTGAGTAGGGCCCGGAAGGCTGACCCGGCCACCGTCTCCCCAGGAGGTCGGCCGCATGAAGATTGAGCTGTTCGCCGACGTTGTACCCAAAACGGCAGAGAACTTCAGGTAAGGAGCAGCCGGCGTTCCTGCAGCTCAGCCTGGACCCGGGCTGCGAAGGCTTTCTATGGTGCAGGAATGTCTCTGGTGGCAGAGTGACTACCTGCCCCCCAGAACCGCTGCACCTGCTTTGCTCCTCTCCCTGTTCCCAGAGAGATGTGACCGACCGTGCAGCATCCTGATCCCTCGGGGGAGCCCATCTGGCTGGAGGGTGGCGGACTCCAGTCCCTCTCTGCTCCCTCTGTGGAGCTTCTGATACGCTCGGTGCATTTATAAGAGGCAGTGCCTTAACGTCACGTTAGAGTTCTCTGCCACTGGCTGAAGGATGTACCGCTTTGGACATCCCACTTCCACGGGAGAAATGAATATACCCCGTTCTCTGTGAAACACAGTGCCTGCTGCACGTTCGGTCTCTTACAACCTCTCTCATGTTTAAATATCTGACCTCCCCAACTGCAGAAAGTGCAGAAGTCTGTTTTGAAATGGAGGTGGGGAGGAGTTGCTGCCGGTTCCCGTTTCAAGTCCTGCACGACAGTCGGTGCATGTTCGCTGAATGCAGCCTTCTGTGTCCTTGGAGTTCAGATGTGGCTCACGCTCTGCTCTTGTTTGTTTTCCAGGCAGTTTTGTACGGGTGAATTCAGGTAAGTGGGTTATAGTGTCCTTTTCAGTAGCCTACTCAGAGAAACAGGGCTGGGTGAGTAGGAAGAAGGCTCACTTGGAAGTTTTTCTTACTATACCAGTGCAAAACGAAAGAGTTACGGAAGTCTGCTCTGATGGAATTGTGACAGGCTCGGTCAGTCACGGAGATGGCAAACTTTCCCTTTTGGGCATGACTTTGTTCATGCTCAGGTTGCTCTGAAAAGCCGTGCCTGCACATCCCACCTGCTCGTGCTGCAGATTGCAGTGGGATCCCTTTAAGATGATGGTATGGATGTTGTAAGTAACCGTGTCATTTAATGTGCAGAGCCCACTCGAGGTTTCCCTTGACCTCATAGCTGAGAGCCAGGCTGCAGCGCTTGGTTATATATCAGGGCAGCTACTAACGTATAGGGCAAGCGTTGGGGACTCTCAACTCCTGGGAGGGTTTTGTGTTGGGATATGCAGTAAGCTGCAACGATTTTCCTTTTTATCTCCTTGCAGGAAAGACGGTGTCCCTATAGGTTATAAAGGAAGCACTTTCCACAGGTAATTCTTCTGCTTTTGTTTGGCACTTAAATAGCGGTCTGAGCTAGATGTGGTTTTGAGACCTGCCTCAAAGGCATTAATGGTCTGGGAGGCATTTGTAGGTCACGGCTAATACCGTCCTTCTGTAGCTTTGGGGGACTTGGGGGTGCTGTCAGACGTGTACGCCGGGGTCAGTGGGAGGGGTCCCCCGTTCCTGGCGTGCCAGGTCAGAGATGGTTTCCTGGCGTGTGTCGCCTAATCGCTATCCCTGGTCGAACAGCGATGGGTCCCAAATTACCTGCTAGCAACCAGTTGTTAATATTTATTGTGGATTTTAGACTGTAGCATTCATAGACCCTGATAACTTTTGTTGTGCTACGAGGCAGAACTCCTTTTTATCACATATTAAGCTTCTTGAGGCATTTTTCTACCAAGAACTAAGTATTGTTTTACTTCTTTAGGGTAATAAAGGATTTCATGATCCAAGGAGGTGACTTTGTAAACGTATGTACTTCTATATTCCTTTTGTACTTTTCCTACATGCATATTACAGCAACTGTTTCCAAGGGTCCGTGCTGATGTATGGGATCTGTTGGCTCTCTCTTGAGGTACCCAGTAGTAACTGGAGGTTTCCTCATAGCATTGCTGCCATCTTACTGCAACAGACTATAATGTCCTTGAAAACAAATCTGGAGTCTTGGGTGAGCATACCTGCTCCTTCCCAAAATATTTCCTCTCTAAAAAAAGCATGGCAGTACAGCTAGAGGCTTTTCAAACTTGCAGAGTTGTTTTTTTTTTTTTACCCTGTTGTCCTTCCCCCTTCTCCTGTCCAAACAAGAAACCCTGCGCATTTCTACTAGCTTTGTGGAGAGATACCCTAAGTACAGAACCAAGCATCTAGTGCAAGAGAGAGTTTAAATCAAAACTATCTTTTTGTTAGTGAATTGTCTCAAGATAGAAAAGACTTTGTGCCGCAGCGGTGGTCGTGCTCTGACTTGGGGATAAGCAGAGTATATGCGGAAGGCTGGAGAACCTCTGGGTCTCTTCATTGTCCTAGGACCCAGTAAAATTATTTCATTTCTGGAAGTGTTTCAAAATATGAGAGGGGTGGTAAAGCTTTTTTAATACAAAATTTATAAAACTTGGTTGTATGAAAGTCACTGAGAGAACTGACCGCACAGCGGGTGGCTCAGCCACACCAGGTTTTTAGGTAGTCGCTAATTGTGATGCTGCTCAAATGTCCCAGTGGGCTTTATTACTTCCACTGAAGCTCAACAAGCATTACAGATTGCACCAGTATTTCTAATTTATAAATTACACTTATTACAAAGCCACTTGGGGAGCAAGAACGGTCACGTTGACCACTAAGATAGGGTATACGTTCCTTGTCTCAGAGCTGACAGTTTAAGTAAACCACAGAGAATAGGAGGAAAAGACGCAAGGGCAGAGCAAAAGATGTGGAGCTGCACACGGTATATTACTGGCATCTTATTTTCCTGTTAAGTTTGGCCTAATAAAGAATGTATACGTCAAAGAATGTATACTGTAGAAAGGCAAAGAAGGGAGACAGGTTGCAGCAAGGCAGAAGAAATGGGGCTGAAGCGACACAGAAAGGGAAAATCAACACAGAAAGGGAAATTGCTGTCAGAATAGTAAATTGAATTGGCTGTGCCAGAGGTACCTGTTTGTATTGCTTCTGCAGCTTTCCCTGAAGGGTTCCTTGCTGCAGCATCTTTAAGGCTGTTCTACTGAAGGGTCCCTGCTCAGTCCTTTTGGCATCACACAGGAGTGTCTCCGCAACGCTGGACTAAAGAGCAGGGTGGCCTTTCAGCAATCCCACAAGCTAGGTGTCCTGTGTGAACCATGCGTCCGGCTGCTGCAAAGTTATAAACTCGTGAGCAGTCAAAGCTTGCCATCCGCAGCTGTTACGGGCCATGCTGCTTTAATTTGCAAGTGTCTTGAGATCTGAGTGCTAGGGCTTGTAGTAAGTACAAGATGTCTCGACTTGGTAGAAAGTGCAGAAAAATTCAGAAACTCTGTATTTTAGAAACTGTCCTTGCTGAACAGAGAGATCACTTCCCTGTTTCCAGTAAAGTCACAGAAAATAAGGTGAAATAAGTAAACATACCATCAGCTGACTTTTTCCACACAACCACTTCTGCTTTCCTTGTCACACCAGCCCACACTTCTACGTCCCCTCCCTTTTCCCTGCCAAGTCCGGGTGGGTCCATACCAAGCAATCTATAGCCTCCATCTCACTCTGGGAGGCTTGTACTTAATCCGTACTATCTCCATGGGTTTCTGCCAACATATGGATGGCAAACGATGTACTGTGTAGTTAGAAACCAGTCGCTGTTCCTCTTCAGAAATGAAGCATCTGAATGCGTTTGCTGCTGGTAGTACAGCATCTGTTTTGGGCTGAGTTTAATGCTGTCCTTTTGCTTGGGGATTTTAAATTTATGCTACAGAACAAATGCTGTGGCTGACTGGGCACCTCTCGCGCAGGGAGACGGCACTGGAGTAGCCAGTATATATAGGGGTCCTTTTGCAGATGAAAACTTCAAGCTGAAGCACTCTGCTCCTGGGCTGCTCTCTATGGTGAGTATAAAATAATGACATTATAAGACTAAAAAGCTTTTGGTACTTTCTCTGTGCCCTTTTCCTAAGTGTGTAAATTATTTGTCAGACAACAGAAATCTCCACCATTGGATACAAGGTCTGAAAGACCTGCTTTGTAACCACTAGTCAGAAGGCTACTCATGGGTTAATGTGTTAAGTAACACAAAAGTCCTGATCCTGCAGCATCCTTTCTTTTTTACCTGTTGGAGTGCTGGGGCAGGCTTTGTTTGATCAGCTTTCGGAACAGCTTGATTCTTACAGTTTTCATGCAGTGGCAAGCAGTGGTGTTTTTTCTTCCCTGATACTGTTATCAAACACTGACCTCAGCAAGGATGAAACAAAGAGATTTGAGAGTTTCAAAGCCATAGCAGCATTACCATGGTATCTTTTATAACACACGCTTCCTGTTCAACATTGTAGGAAAAACTGCAACCATTGCATGTTGTCTGGTAGGAACAATACACTGACTTTTGCAACAGAACGCAAGTGGAGCCAGTGCTTCACTGTTCCTATCCACAACTGCTTCTTCCCCAGCTCTTTCAGCTGCCCTGCCCTTAAAACCGCTTGTTTTGGGCATTTACCGTTTGGATTAGTTATTCATCCAGTTCAAAACATGGCCCCAAAAGAGGTGTCACGACACAGCTAAGCAAACAGTGTACTGTAGTGTGGGAGAAGGGATCCCACGCTGGTATTACCAGCTTTGTGTTAAAGTGGCGTGGCTCTGGAGCCATTCTGCTGGGCCAAACCATGGTCCATCCCAGCTGGATCCTTCCGAAGCTGGCTAACAATTGAGTAAAAGATCCAACGTGACCATGTCCTGTGCAGTCCTGCAGCTGCAAAACTTGCCCAGTTCACTTGTCAGCACAGAAACATGCTTTAGTACCTCCTGGTTGTCAGAAGAGCTTTGAAAAATAGAAATGGACTGAAGCGTTGCAGAGATGTTTTCTTAGCAGAGCACAAATGCTCTGGGTGTTGCACTTCGGTGCGAATTAAATTTCACATCTGCATGACACCGTTCCTGTGAATCCTGTGCCACTATGGTCGTTACCTTTCTCATCCTGATCATCAGAACAGACACCTGTTTTTTTTCTATTCTGAGGAAACCTTCCAAATAGCAGAAAACAGCTTCTTTTTTTCTGCCCTGGTTCCTGGCTTTCAGTTTTCCCCAGGACAGTACTGCAGCAGTAAGTACTCATCGCCAAAAATTTTAGCCTTTTTTCAGGAGCATCCTCTAGAGCCCACGTTTCAGCACAGTTTTGTGCTGAACGTGCCTTCTTAGAAGTATAATAAAAAGTTGGTGGCGTGGCTCTTGCACACACTGGCACGGCCAGACTTGGTGGCGTGCCACGTCCCAGCACAGGGTACTCTCCTGCAGATGTATATCTTGCTTCCTTTGGTTTCTGTAGCAATAAGCTAAAAATAAGCTAGGCTAGATCTAGAGCAACAGCTCTTTCCTATGTGAGATGCATCTGCCTTCAGTTTTGGGAAGTCCTAATTTGTACACTTTTCATATTTTGCCATTCTCAACCCCCAGGCAAACAGTGGTCCAAGTACCAACGGCTGTCAGTTTTTCATTACGTGCTCCAAATGCGACTGGTTGGATGGAAAACACGTTGTGTTTGGTGAGTACCTGCAGCGGAGGCCTGGCGTACCAGCTCACGGGCAGTCCCTGTGGCGCAGCTGCTAAAATAAACAGCCATGGACTGCTTGTTCTTCCCCCCTCGCTTGTGCTAGCAGAGGTATCGGTGCAGCCAGATACTGAGATGGGTCACTGTTGAAATGAAACATTTTTTTCCCAGGTTGGCTTTAATCCAGATCAGTTCCTTGATGGGTGTGTCGTGTTGCTACATAAATCCTTGTGCCAGTGCAGAAGGGACAGACAGATGAGTGAAGGGATACCTTTCTTCTCCACTGTCAGAGAGGACTGAGCTTTCAGCAGAGTTTTTAGATAGTAATTCTATGAAACCACATCTGCTAACTTTTCATGTACTGCTACTTGGCCCCTCACTACAAGAAGGACGTTGAGGTGCTGGAGCGTGTCCAGAGAAGGGCAACGAGGCTGGTGAGGGGTCTGGAGAACAAGTCTGATGAGGAGCGGCTGAGGGAACTGGGGTTGTTCAGCCTGGAGAAAAGGAGGCTGAGGGGAGACCTCATCGCTCTCTACAACTACCTGGAAGGAGGCTGTAGCGAGGTGGGGGTCGGTCTCTTCTCCCAAGTAACAAGCGACAGGACGAGAGGAAACGGCCTCAAGTTGCGCCAGGGGAGGTTTAGATTGGATATCGGGAAAAACTTCTTTACTGGAAGAGTGGTTAAACATTGGACCAGGCTGCCCAGGGCAGTGGTTGAGTCACCATCCCTGGAGGTATTTAAAAGACGTGTAGATGAGGCGCTGAGGGACATGGTTTAGTGGGCATGGTGGTGGTGGGTCGACGGTTGGACTCGATGATCTTAGAGCTGTAGGATTTCAAGGCCAGCCTTTAAGCTGATGTCCTACTTGGTACTTCCTCCAATTCTTAAGTAACACTGATATCGTTCATTGCCCTTTTTTGCATCATTACAAAGGTGTTGATAGGTAGTTCATGCTGTAGTTTAGCACAGCTGGTGGCGGTAGGTCTCAAAACCTAGATTTCTACACGTGCCACCCCTGCAATGGGAAAATGCACTTAATCTGTCCTGAATGTGGAAAATGTTTTAAGAGGGATTGTTTCCTTTATCAGTTTAGAGATCAGTAACAAACCCTGAAGTGCCCAATACCTATACACTGCACAAGACTTTTCAGGAGGAACAAAAATTCATGCACCTGTGATGAGTGGGGGGGAGCAAAAGTGAAAGCTGGCCATATTGAAGTGAATACATTTTCTCATTCTAGGTAAAATTGTCGATGGGCTGTTGGTGATGAGAAAAATTGAAGTAAGTTGAATTCGCCTATTTCTCTGTGAATGTCCACGTTGGAAAGTCACGTAGCGGATTAACAAGGGTTGTTCTGTTCTCTCCCGCTGTCTGTTTACAGGATACCAGGGAATACCAGTGTTGATAACTGGTATTATCGGTTGTCATCATTATAAAATAGCAGGAAATCTGTTGAGGCAAAGGCTGTCATATAGATTGACTTTAGAAATGCTATGCTCTCGTGCTTGCTGGTTAGTCTTTGAGCGGGGATTGTGTTCTTGTGGCTTTATTTGCAATGCTTTGCATTTGTTCAGGAAGCTGAATTGAAAAGCTGTTCCATCAGCAACTCAGACAAGAGTGTAAAGCAGATCCCTTCTGTGCCATTGCCTGGGATTATTTAGTGGATGCTAGATCATCAGTTCTGCTGATCCGTGATCAGCATGTTTAATAAGAAAAATTAAATGAATCTTCTGATGGGCTTCCAGGAGCTGAAGATAAGTACGCTCAAGGTGGTTGCTACCAACGTTGTGACTGGGTGTCATGGCAGGATGATGAGTAGATTTTACAAATAGCAGTGAGTTCTTCAAGACAGCCGACACTAACTTCATGGCACACGCATGGGACAATGTGCACAAGGGCCTCTGCCATCAGTGAATCCAAAAAGTGGGGCACAAACAGAGCTGACAGCTGTTAGGTATTGAGAAAAGGCCGCGTGCAAGGAACCGTATAGCATGATACAACCCATGCGTTGCTAGCCCTCTTACACCACAACCCTTCCATCAGTGCTTTTGGTGGCCTACTTTGTGTATCACTGCAGTGAGAGGCAAATTAAAGGAAGTGAGTGACTCATGAAAAAGCAGCCGAGTCCAGCAGAACGAGAGGTTCGGAATGAGGCTTGCTTTGTGACTGTCTCGTACTTGGATTCCCCTTCTGTACAAATACAAGTTTGCTTTGCTTGTTGCAGCTGTAATTAGTAACTTTAAAGATTTAAGCCAGAGCAGCCTCAAGTGACATGATGCCTCATGAGGAGCTCTCCAGTTTTTGCTCTCTTCCTTTGCTCCCATTCAAAGGATCGGGGTCTGGTCTGCATCCCAAACCTCTGCGCACAGAGAGAGTTCACCGGCTTGTGGCTGGGTCCATTGCCAAAATGCATGATGGTGCTTCTGTGTTACTCAGAGCTGTGTCTAGATTTCCCTGTTCCTGATGTTGCACAGACACCTCTTAGCCAGTCTTCAAGTACCTGTCACTCACTGGATTTGCTGTGCTTTTATAAGGTTTAATGTTATATATTTGTTTGTCCCCAGAACGTGCCTACGGGTCCAAATAACAAACCCAAGCTGCCAGTTGTGATCTCTCAGTGTGGGGAAATGTAAAGCAATGAAACAGAAATGTGGTAAGTCTCAGTCTTCACGGTGCAATTGAACTGTGGGCTGCTCCGCTCCTTATTTTTCTCTTGACTTATTTTCACATTCATTTGAGTCTGCAGAGAGCTGACTCAGTTCAGTGAAACGCCAGAAGATGCTTCTCTAACAGCGTTAGTTTTTTGCCAGCTCAACTCCCTGAACTGGCTTCCCTCCGAGCTACACAGGCATCAAAGGCAGCGCTAGAGGGATAAGATTTCGCAGCTGCGATCAAGGGGAAGATGGGGTGTGGAAGCTGTGCCTTGGATGGGGTTAGGGTGCCTTGGATGGGGTTAGGGTGCCTTGGATGGGGTTAGGCTGCCTTGGATGGGGTTAGGCTGCCTTGGATGGGGTTAGGCTGCCTTGAAGCCTCGGCTTTAGAAACCAGTGGATGAAAGGGAACTGCAACAGGAATCCAGCTGGTATTACCCAGACAGTCTAGGGGGTGGGGGGCTTCACTTTGACCTGCAGGTTGGTGAACTCTGATTGCTGCAGAAGGCAGAGCATCCATGTGCGGGATGGATGCCACCATTGAAGGGCCAAGGAATTATCATGTTACATAGTCTTACCTTAACTTGAAAAAATACCGCTGTCCTCATCGGAACGGAGATGTTTCCAGCATTTACTATTCATTCAGGCTTCATTTTGGTTAAACTAATAGGCTCAAGACAGAGCTCAGGCTAACATACAGTATTCTGTTTCCATTTGTCCGCCCACTTCACCGTAAAAAACACAAGCATTTAAACAAATCTGTCTAGATTTCAATGTGTCAGGCTGCAGCTTGTCAAAAATCTGCTGTATTAGCCTTTTGGTTGCTGATTTTTCAAATTTCAGCAGGCAGGCACTGACAAAAGCAAATCCCCACAATTTTTGACCTTCCATTAAATGATTTCCAAAGACATCTGGAATTACCCACGAAGACACGTCCCCGCTTCCATAATAAAGTCTTTCAGATCTGCAGCACTTCAGACTCTTGGGAGCTCTTCCTGTTTGATGAAGTGACAACAGGGAATGTAATCATCCTTTCATTTCCCTGGTACTTCTGGTGGCATTTATAGGCTTTTGAAGATGGGCACAACCTTGTTGACAGGCTTTCTTGCATATGGGCAGGCCGGTGCTGGTGGGTCGGTCCCCTTTAGGGTTGTCCTCCGGCCCAGACTTGATCATTTCAATTTGGAGTACGTGATCTCTGGCCAACATCCAACTTGAGACTGGAAGCTTTTCATTTCTAGGTATGAGGCTGGTGCCACCTTGCTTACTTCCCAGCCAGGTCTTGGGAACTGCCTCTCTGCACCCTGCTGCCTCTCGGCTGCCTGTAGACAAGAACGGCATTCGTCTCGGCCAACTTCAGGCAGCTAAATCCGTTACTTGTCAGGATGCTTTAAAATCAGCCAGGAGAAACAGGCACTGTTGGTTTTAAGTTCAGAAGTAGATGCAGATGCCTGGCATGGAGACCCAGGAGGACTCCTGGGTTCTGTAGCTCAGGGTTGGCGTGAGCTAGTGCATGCAGCAAGTAGCATTCACTTGAAAATCACTGTAGCGGCACCCAGTGTCACTGCACAGTCTTGCTCCTGTAGGATGAGTTGGGAACGGCTGTCCAGCATTTTGGATCTGTTTCTTCTTCGTTTCAGTGTTCCTTCACCGGTGCTGGCTCCAAACAGTTCCAACTCCAGCCAGTTCCCCCACTGCCCCAGTCCTCTCCGCAGGCCAGATCCGCGCTCTTGACATTCTCCTGAAATTATTTAATAATTGGCATCTATATTTTTTTTTACGTTTTGAAATGTAAATAAAGAATTTCATTAAATATGTGTGCAGTGCACATCAGTTAACGTGCTTGGGAACAGATCCGTCTTCAGGTGAGAAGGGCTATGGCATCTTCAGCAACGTGCGTTATCCCTAGCTGGTTCGGTACTGCGCGGGGTATTGAAGGGCATTGCTGCTGGGCGTTTGCAAACTGGGAAAGGAGGGGTGAAAGGAGCATGGCAGGGCCGTGCACCACCAGCTCCTTCACTCGGCAGGTGAATAAGGCTGCCTGGCAGAGAGGTCCTTGGCATCTTGGGAATCTCCAGAACCTTTCTATGTGCAGCCTTACTGAAGCACAAGAAATGGGTATGGCACAGACTTTCATCACCATGAGTTTGCTGGGCTCTGAGGCGAGTTATGTTGTAAACAAGCATTTGTAAAGCCTCCCCTGGCACATTGCAGCACTAGGCCATAGGGCTGTTGCGTGCCACGGGTGTTACAGGAATTCACCTGGGTGCCACAAGGGCATTAGAGCAGGGCTTTGGGCTGGGAAGCAGAGAATGATTATCCTGTAGGAGTAGAAATGAGGGCTCCTTATCCTGCGTGGTTACAAAGAGCGCAGGTGAGGCTGCAGGTTGGTGGAAAAACTGACTTTCTTCTCCCAGAATCGGGTTGCAAGCTCACCTCCCTGCTGGGGGACAAGAAAGCACCCCTCACGGGGGCTGGGCCACAGCGTGAGTTTTCTCATCCAGCAGATCAAACGTAAAGGAGTTGGGACGAAGTCTGTTCTGTCACGTGCAGGTGCTTCATCCCATCCGGATACGTCCCATCCATCCGTGGGCAGCAGGAGTGTATTGTTTGGGGCTGTCTTGGGGAGGTGCAGTCTGCGCGCTTAGCTTGTGCGTTACCCCGTGCTAGATAGCAAGCGCTGACAGGTCCTGCGGGCATGTTTTGGTGTGCTCTTTTATCTCATGGCTGTTTCAAGTCCTTGAAGCAGGCTCTGGCTGTCGGGATTTCCGGGTCTCCATTCCTGGGATTGCACAGCTGCTGAGGACACTTGTGCTCACTTCTCTCCAGCCCAAGGCATCTCACTTTCTTGTACCTGCAGAACATCGGGTGATGAAGGAAACACAAAGCACGCCATCCCTTTCCTCTCCAGGCCTGAAAAGACTTTGCAGAGGGCTCTTTCCTGTGAGATGAGGGTTGAAAATTCGCAATATGGGGGAGAAAACCGGACCTGGATAACAGCTGTGAGCTAAGAGGTGACCAAAAAGAGAGAAACTCAGCTGCTGGTCCTGCTCAGGAAACACGTCCAATGCTCCTTCCCTATGGGGTTTAGGCGGGAGCTCGGCTCGAGGTGGCTCGAGGGATCTCTGCCTGCCAGCTGCAGTGCTGAGGTTTGCGGTTCTGGCTGCAGGTACCCAAATTCACTGTACTTTTTCACCAGGGAAACCAGCTTATTTCTGGGTCCACTCGGCAGCGCTTTCTCAGCCTGATGTATTTATGTCACTGCGATCAGCTAGTCTCACTTCCCGCATAGCAGGGGTCGCAGAGCTTCCCCAAATTAATTAACAGCAGCAAATCCATTACAACCTGTTTGAAAGTTGTTCCAATGGCTAATTATATCCCATTAAGTTTCTCTTTGACACTGAATGTGCAGAGTTTCAGCTTTCCAGCTTATGTATCTTGCTGTTCCTTATCTGCTGGCTGAAAGTTTTCTCAAAGACCACATTTTTGCATTCAATTCCCCAATGATGAAGTCCCCCTTCAGTTATGTTGTATGTAGCAAGTCCTGGAATCTCCTGCTGTAGGGCAGACGACGGATCTTCTCTCTCCGAGCTCCAGCATCTTCCTCCAACTGTGGATGCTGCAGCTGGAGACAGCATTTCAGATTGCCTCTTTATTCATCCGAGGATCAGATTAACCTCTGGGCCCTGCGGTGTTGCCCCCACAAAAGACGTTGTTAGCTGTTGAGTGGCCGACATTTTCTTCTATAGGTGCACGGCCCTGACATCCTCACAGGCTTCGTCACCGAGATTTGAAGTTTTCTCCCCAGTTTTCTCCCGCTAGGGTCTCTCGCGTGGTGGGTTCCCTATTTGCCATTATAGTTTTAAGATTTATTTTTCAGTTGACTTACTGAGCATCATCCAATTTTGATATCATTCAGAGTTCTGATGCAGATCCCTTGCGGGATTGTACTACTGTTTTAAAGCTCTTTCCTTCGTTAGCTGAGTTGGAGATCTCATGGAAGAGTTACCAAGATAGCTTGACAAGTCCATAAACCCACGCTGGTTGTCGTGGTGGGTTGACCTTGGCCCCATCTGAGCCCCTCACCTGGCCATGGTGTAATGTGGGGAACTGGCATCTGTTCTTCACGCTAGGACGGGGAAATCGACAGTGAGTTGTGTGTGACGCTGGAAGGGCTGATCCCAAGGGGATACACGTTGGTTGCAAAGATGATTGACAAACGGGTCAGCTCCCAGAGACCTTCTTGGTGGTTGCTGGTGAGCAACCTTTCCCTCCTCTTACGTGGGAGGAATGATATAGCCAAGGACAGGGCTGTGAATCTGGCGAACAACCACATTTTTCAAGTGCCCAAGGAAAATAACTTGGTGGACAAGAACGCTGGGTTTCCCCTGGACCTTCCCTCTGGGGAATCCAGCAGAGATCTCGGATTTCTCTGAGCCGCTCTAAGGTGAAGGATAGGGGATGGAGGCGAGGTGGTCGTTGGAGAAGGGCTCCATCAAGACAAAGAACCCAGCAGTGGTGCTTTCCCAGCTGCCTGGGTGGGGAGAAGGGCTCAGGGTAAGGGGAGCTGCCCCACAGTCTCTCCCCATCCCTCTGGCAGAGAAGCTCCACTGGGAAGGAAGGATGGGATGCTTAGGAAAAGGCTAATTAAAGACAAGACTTTTAAGAGACCTCTGGCCCCGGGCTACAGCCTGGCTCTTAAATGGCTCAATTAGGAGGCGTTTATCTTGAGTAACTGCCCAGGCAGGTGCAATCAAAGGAGCTCCTTGGGGAGCAACGCAGAGCAGAGCCTGTGCCAGGCGTCTGCAGCGTGGAGGGGCTTGAGGAGCACCTCAGCCAGGTCCCAAATTTCTGTAGGCGAAGCCCGGACCCTTTCCCCTCCTCACCAGTAGGCCTGGCACAGGGCTCGGGACCTCCGCGTGCTGC